TTATTTCAATAGTTGAAATCAGGAGTCAGTTGAAGCTGGACCACCATGAAAAACTTGGATGCCATCTCAGTGGCCTAATGGTTAAGCGCTCAAGTGCGAGACTGATAGATCCTGGGTTTGAATCTCGCACGGAGCGGGATAGTGGATGAGCACTGTTGAGCAGTCCTGTAGTGTACGTTATTACGTTAAACCTTTATGCCTTATTCTAGCTTTCGGACAGACTATTTCATTCATTCCACTTGAGTCATATTCTCACCTTGTTATTTATTCGCTTATCAGTCTTGACTGTTTTCATATGAGCGCGTAGGTGTGTGTACATTTCTTATCCCATTACTCATCACATGTCCGTATCTTACTTTTGTGTAGCTACAAATATTGATTAACTCTTCGTTAAATGGGAGTCGGCTTACCCGCCACATCCACTGCAGGTCGTTTTGCTTCGTTCTGTTCCATTCACTTTCTATACAAAATATATGTATTCACAAGTCCATTCTCGTTATTTGACTTATTTAATTCCGTTACTGACTAACGCAATTTAAGTCCATGATTACATACGAGGATAGGCGATAACAAACATTCATACGATAATCTTGGATTCAGATCCATGGGCTACTAAAATGTAGAGCCCTTTCGACAACATCGTTCGCTCTAAACGACGACAAAATAAAAAAGCTCCACAGTCCCATACTAGAACAAAACGACCGTTCAGTGCTTCCAGGTTTCCCATGGTTGTCTAACTTCAATCGACTAATGATTTCAACTATTGGAATTTCTAAAAATCTCCACAAAACCCCTTTTGATATTTTTTGTTTCATAAAATGAGTTATAAACAATGAATGAAATCGTAAACTTTTCTTTATTCTCTTTTTTCTTTCTCGTTTCTTTTTAGTATAATATGATTATTTGAAGTTATAGGAAAATGAATTTTGACATTTTATTTCATCTTCCCTTGAAAATAGGTCATATTGAATGAATGAATGAATGAATGAATGACTGTTTTAAAAATGCTACTTAAAATGAAAGAATTAAGATGGAGAATAAAAAAGAGAAGAAGAAACTAGTTAAGAATATGGTTGAATTAATTTAATTAATTTAAGCTGTGAAGTCTTATATATTTGGATGAAATACTTGTCCAATGCTTTCACAGATTTTCTAAGGTAGTCTAGATGAAATCCAATCATGAATTTAATCAATTTCCCTCAATTATTATTTTGATATTAATTAAGTTTGTTTTACATTTAGATACTACTTATTTAGTAGTTGATTGTATTACTATATATCATGAGTACTTAAGAAAGTTGGTAAGTTCATCGGATTTTAATTAAAAGTGTTAATAAACTAACTACACAAGTTATGGTGTTGTTTTTTTTGTTTGTTTTTTTGTTTTTCAAAGTGTTTGAAGAGTATTTGGACAAAACTCTAATCTAATCTAAAAGGTTGATAGATATAAATTCTAGTAACGGTGATGAATGAATGAATGAATAGCTATTTGTTTAACATATAAACTATATTATATTATAGACAATGATGAATAGTGGCTAGTAGTGGAATCCATGGACATGCGTTTTGTCCGATGTAGGACTCATCAGCTGGATGTATCTCAGAGTTGATATTCACTGTGAGGCTCGAATCCTATACTGTTCGCTTGAAACACTTCACTATCTATCTTTGCCTATAATGCTTGCGCATTAAGACAATATCGAGGCAATCAACATAGGACGTACATATACATATAATAGACTGATCAGTTGCAGTTCTAAACATCAATGGGAAGTTTCAACTAAACAATACCAAGTGAATGAATAATAATAATTATTATAATTATACAATAAAAATATATGTATAGTATTAGTTCATAAATGGATCCCCACAGTTACCATCCACTATTCTCGTCGAGATAATATATATATGAATATGGGAAAAAATAGTTATCCTTGGAATGAATGAATTTAATTTTTTTACTGTAAAATGAATTCAGCATTTTTACATTACGAACTAATTTTGATTAGATAACAATCAAAAACAAACTTCAAAGCTCAACAATCTATAAAACTCTCCTTTCCCTATTACCTTCAATGATCTCGCGGGGTGCGGGATCGTGAATGCGCACTGCTGAGGAGTCCCATACTAGGACGAAACGGCCGTCCAGTGCTTCCAGGTTTTCCATGGTGGTCTAGCTTCAACTGACTCATGATTTCAATCTGTGAAATTTCTAAAATCTCCAAAAACCCCTTCTGATAAAAAAATCATGTGCCAAAGACATTTACAGCCTATTTAAACAATGTATGACAATGAACTCAAAAATGTGTCTTATTATCATCATCATAATTAATTCTTGTGTACTTTTGTTACCGTATATCTGACTCCTCTATTTGATCGTGTGATTGATTGCCACTGAGATAAACATGTCGCTAATTCTCGTACATAATTATCGACTTAACTGAAGTTAGTCAATAACAGAATTAAAATAAGTCACATACGAGAATAAAGTCTTGAATATGTGTAGTTCATACAACCGTTGATCTGAACAAACAATCAAAGAAACGGAACTTAAAAAGCGACGAGGAAAAGGAGAATCAAAACAAAATGACACCCAACGGAGAAGGTAAGTAAGCCAACTCAGTTTAACTAAATGTGACTCAATATTTATAGTCAAACAATAATAAGTTACTGATGTCTGATGAGTAAGTTAAAAAAAGCACATACGCTTATGTAAAACAGTCAAAATTGATAAGCAAATAAGTAACAGGGTAAAATGTAACTCAAGAAAATTGAATAGATTGATCTGTCCATAAACTAGAACAATGATGTGAACTTGACATATGGCCAGTCAGTACAGTACATTTCATTGAGAAAATCAATCAAAAATAAAGAAGGAATGGATAAACAAAATGTTTTTTTTGCGACTCATCAATTATAAACCCTACTAATATGGTGACAACCGCCACGTTGTTTCCAAGTTCCATGTTAGATAATAATTACATACTGAAAAATAATTCCGACTATAAGATTTCTGGGTTAAAATTTGTAGGGTGGCGAGACTATAATTTATGGACGGACCAATCATGTATAAGATAATGGTCTCAGATTTTGGCTCGAAATTCAATAATCCATTTAGCTTGATAGAGTTTCGACATTATATCCGATGTCAGCTAGTGATGAAAACCCTAGATATAATTCCTAACCGTCAATATTTTAAATCAAAATTCGAAGTCCTCACACAGATTTATAACCCTCATTTAGTCCTATTTATTAAGTGAACAATATCAAGATCAGTCGAGCGTCACCCAAAGGTCGTTCATAAATTATAGTCTCACCTGTATGGTTTTTTTATACAATAAACTTTAATTGTAACATTATTAATCACATAAACTGGAATTAACACTAAATATGTTGTAGTATAACAAGTGTTAACAAATGCAACGACTTTTGATAAAGTTTTGTTCTTTGAGCTGGATGGTTTATGGTCGTGAAGTTTTCATCGTTCTTCTGAACGACATCATCAGCACAAACTTCAAGTAGAAGTGAAGTGTCAACAAGAACTAATCAATATCAAGGTCTACAGATTAAGTTGTGAGATATATGTGGAGAAATTTGAACATTTCACTTCTACCTGAACTTTGTGCTGATGATGGCGTTCAGAAGAGAACGATGAATACTCGACGACCAAACCATTCAGCTCAGAGAACAAAACTCCATCAAAATCATCCACCTGAGCTACAAATCTTCTCCACTGCTTCATAGCTATAACAGATTAGCTTCACCGGTCTCGGTTTCTCACTGAAACTGAGAATTACCACTAGAGTCGAGCCAGTGGCGTGCACATGATAATTATCAGTAAAGGATTGTGAAAATTGTTTAGTTTCATCGAGATTTTGAACTGATCAGTGTTAGACGACCATTCTGTCAGAGTAAAGATTGTGGAATGTTTGAATTGGTTTAAACACTAATTAATAACTGCTGTCACATGTTTTTAGTCATATAGCTAACAGTCCCAGTGATTTCACACTCCTTGTTCTACGTTCTGATGTAGTATGGTTAGGGGGAGTCGAAAATAGGTTTTATGCTAGATGAGACTCTACATTAAAACCCATCCATAGTCTTGTGTTAACAAAAGCTTCTTGTGAGATTTCAAGTCTCGCTACCCAAATTTACAACTCAGGCCGTTACCGTATTGTTATTCGAATCACAGAAAAGATCATCTGTCGGACTCGGTAACGGCATATCATATAACCTAACTAATACAATCGAGTCAACTCAAGGACTGCCACTCGAATAGATAACTGTGAAACTGAATGACAAGGGTTCAAATCTCTCCATTTGGCATGAAACTTGTCCCTGAAGTTGTTTATCGACTGCTTTGAATTCATTATAAGTTTCAGCAAAGAGGCATGTTTTAAAAGGATTGTTGAACAAATCAAAAGTTTATCTTACAATACATAAACATTCTGTTGAAAAGTAACAGAACGATTGGTTATGTATAACTATTTATTAGTAGACAGCCATATCATAACATATAAAGAAAATCTAGAGTACTGCATTTAAGTAGAAAACTTACATAAAAATGAGATATTTGAGATGTTTGATGCTGACTAAACAATCGTGAATCGATCCATTTCTGTAGATGATGAACTATTATCTGACACTAAACTAAATGATGTAGATCAGCGTTTGGTTTCCTGTAGAACGACCCTTGATGTATTAGTTAAAAGCCTATTATTATCGCCTTCGATAAATATGAGTTATCGAATTTACATTAAAACATTGGCAAACCTACTGAATACTAACTTTTTCATTGAGTCATCAATAACTAGCGGTCTCTTTATGAATCCATAATGAAATCTGCTGTAAGTCTAGATAAAGCAGGAGAATATAATCATTATGACTTAAACAAGACTTATAACTTACTCTTTTTATTAATCAAAGCTGTAAAATACTCACCAGTTTAAAATTATCAGCAATAATACATAACCATCATATTTCCTCTTTCAAACACTAACCTTAATAAATCCAGTAAAGAATCCAATGTTTCAGGTCTACGTTCCTCTATTGTTCCTTCGCCTATTTCATCTTTAATTGATGTATCACCTGGATGTATGCATAAAACTAGACCAATACCAAGTATAACTGCAAGCATTGTAGTTACTACATAATAAATCAATGCATATGAGCCAATTTTTCCGCTTGATTTTGGATCTAAACCAGCAAGTCCTGGATAAAAACAAAACAAATTCACAATATTAATAATAATATTCATCAAAATTTATGTGTTGCCTTTGTAACTTCTCTCTCTTTCGCCATATACACATATATCTTCTCTGTCTCGGTTTCAACAACTATTTATTTTCAGTATGGGGTTGTGGAAATTTCTAAAATATTGATTGAGATCATGAACCGATCAATATTAGAACACCATTGAAAACCTGGAGGCATCGGACAGCCGTTTCGTCCTAATATGGTTGGCCGATTTTGTGAATGTGTTGAAGTTAGACATTAACACCTTTGAATGCCGACTCATTGGTCTGTAGGTTAAGCATTCTCACGCGAGACCGAAAGTCCTGATTTCGAGTCCCAGGTGTGAGATCGTGGATGCACACCGTTGAGGTGATCTATATTAAAAAGAAACAGCCACCCAATGCTTCGACTTAAATTAGAGTATACAAAGCGTGTTAACTGGTGTTCCAGCACCAGGATGTGGTTGAAGCAGGATATTTCCTAAGGACAATTATTCTCTCTGTCAGTACTATATTCCTACAAAATTGAAGGAAAGTTAGGTATAAACCGCTCTAAAATTAGTACACAGCATTTTAACAACGATATCTAAGGGATGAAGAAAGATTTGAAAATTCATTGATAAAAAATAAAGAAAAGATCATATGTGAACGGTTTCAGGTTTTAACAGTTCAGTGATCATGTGAATATGATTCCTATAACTAAACTAACAGTTTTTTAGATTCTTCAAAAATAATCTTTCTATTATGCACACAATCTGATTATATACATAGATTATACCATATTAAAGCCAATTGAATTGATACTGATTGTTTTAAGAATTTTCTTATCTAAAAGTATTCTACTCTAATACTTATCAGTCAGTCGGTCAGTAACAACGTAGAACTTCGTACGTACGTACATCAGTTCGAGTTGCCATACCGCATTAGCACAGGGATGCTGTGGTCGATTCAAATCCCATAGTGGTAGAGGTAGTAAGAGTATAACCAGTAATCAGAAACATTAGGATTTGAAGATGTTATTCAAGGAGTATAATCCAGTGAAATAAATTTGGAAAGAGGAAAAAGAAAGGGGACATGAATAATTCAGAAGATTAGAATTAGGGAGAACACAAAGAGTGGATGCACCTGCGCCATTGCAAACGATTTTGAGCCATGTCATTCAAGGTCTCTAACCATCGGTTGCTAACATCTCGCGGTCCCCAACCAGATAGTCTAGTACTTAGCAATTAATTCTTATACGGTCTGAAATTCATTCAACAGGGATTTTAAAATCAAAACAGCATCTCATACACTTACATCCTTAGTGATTGTTCTTTTTGTTGTTTATTGTTTTAATTGTATTTATTTCTGGTTAACAGATATGAAAAGAATGAATAACAACTGGAAAAAGCTGGAAAAGACTGCCCAGGAAAGAGTTGGATGGACAGTGTTGTTGGGCGGCCTATGCTCCTCCACAAGGGGTAACAGATGTAAGTAAGCAGTAGTCTTAATTGTATTCTTTTAAGAAATATGATGATGTTCTTAATAGAATTGTATTCACGAATGGTCAGATCAGTTTATGTCTAAATCATATATACAATTCATACATAGTTATGATATGATTACGTTAAGAGTTAACTTTGTATAGTAATAATAACATTGTATTGTCACTGATTTATAATTTTAATGAAATCTTTTTCGAAACCATTAAGATTCATTAATAACAACTATCTGGGTTCAGTAAGTTAAGTGGGAAAAGTGATTTTGTTTTTAAGTGAACAGTACAGAGTCCGAGTCCCGGCACAAGCAATTCTAAGATGCTGGCACATCCAATTGACGAGTTCCAAATGGGACGAAACGCGCGTCTTACATTTTACTGTCAGTGACTATCCACCTCTTCTTATAAAGGACTGAGTATTTTGCATAGTTCTGCTTTCACATCCTATCCTTTTTATCATTTGTTTGGGAATAAATAAAACTTGTCTTTTGTAATTCTAAGTAATCCTAACATCATGCAAATCATTTTCCTGTGTAGTTAGCTTATGTTACATTTTTACGGAATCCAGCCAACAGTTTTGAGCTGACTAACTTTGTTTTATCTAGCTCGGCAATGAAATATAATTTTATCTAGAATTTTAACGGATTTACAACCCCACCATTACAACAAACCATTGTATAGCATATCATTCACATTCCAATGAATTAGTCAATAGGATTCATTTCATTGATATATAGTCGTCATGATATCTATCATATGCTTAGTTAACGGTAGGAAAATAACGTTAATTCCTAGTGTTACTCGTTAACATGCTACCAAACGAAATGACGTGATAACTACTGATGTGATCAAATACTTTAAATGTTAAGTATATTTGATTCACAATAGACAACAAAACAAAAACTAATTATATTTGTGAACCATACCCACATTGACATTTTAATGTAACACTGAGAACAACTGAATATCAAGCATCCTGAAAGATCAAATTTACTGAAGGTTTGACTTAAATTTTGCAGTTCATTTCTAATTCAACATAGAATCGAATTTCATTTTCCAATGTCAGTAGAAACTCAATTACTTTCAAATATTTTTATGTAAAACCACTTAATGTAGTGAAGAGTTCTTCAACGATATTTAACCATCTCAGATAATAATTTCATAGTGCATGCCCTAAGGTATTTATGAATTAAAACCAGATAGAAATTCACTTAGTTTTGTTTGTTTGAATCTTCTCATTGATGTTTTGGACGGTCATTGATCAGTCTCTTATTGGCATATGTGTATCCTGTGAGTACTGTCTCGATATTGCCTTAATTCACAAGTATTTTATGCCAAAATCGATAGTGGCTACCAGTGGAATCCAGTACGCGCGTTCCGTTCTATCTGGGACTCGTCAGTTGGATGTACTTGATGTTCACTTTGGGACTCGAACTCAGCACTGTTCGTTTCAAACATCATCACGTTATTCAGTTAACTACTGAGTTTTTTTTCCAATTTAAACCTTCACTTAAGCTTCTATACTCATTATCAATTAGTTTGTAATTAAATTAATTTGTAAATGAATTAATTTTGTACATAGTAACTAAGTGAATAGTAAAACTGACGTTACATGTTCAACGTCATTTATTCAGCTGTTGTTTTTTTCTAATGGTGTATCAATTACTTAGAGTTATATTTCTTAGAAATATGCCTTAAATAATGTAACATTTTGTATATTAATTGTTTATGTACACAAACATAGTAAGAAATAATGATGATATATGCTAGGGACTTCAATAAAAAAAAACAAGTGGAGAACATTTTATCCCTAGATAACTGAGTTTATCTATACATTCCTATGTCTGTCAGAAGGGGTTTTGTGGAGATTTTAGAAATTTCACTGATTGAAATCATGAGTCAATTGAACCTAGACCACCATGGTAAATCTGGAAGCGCTGGGCGGCCATTTTGTCCTAGTATGGGACTCTTCAGCAGTGCACATCCACGATCCCGTACCCTGCGAGATTCGAACCCCGGACCTATCAGTTTCGCGCCAGGCGACATAGGAACAAAAATCTAGCCAATGGAAGATACAGTCAAAACAAAAAAAAGTAAACAATAACAGGTTGAATGTCAACCATAACCAATCAATATCGAGGTCTATAGGACAAGTTGTGAACCATATGTGGAGAAATTTGAACATTCCACTTCTACTTAAAGTTTGTACTGATGATATCGTTCAGAAGAGAACGATTAAAATTCTACAACCAAATTATCCAGCTCAGAGAACAAAAACTTCGTAAAAATCATCTACCTGAGCTACAAATCTTCTTCATTGATGATTGAGTTATCTCATGGATTAATTGGTTAATTTATCAATGATCTACTAAGTAAAAATCGATATCCATCAAATCTGCTAATCAAAAATTATGACTACGATCAGATTGAATGTGAAGTCACTGAGTGTATCGAGAAAAACTTCATTCATGAATTTATAATCCATAGGTGTATATCTAATGAAATAATGGCATAACGCATAGCATAGCTCACACAACAAACACTTAATGCAACAAGATCATGTTATTGTTTCTTAGGTCAGTTCAAATACGACTGTTGAGACTATTATATTGGCCTTACAGACAGAAAATATTTTATCCTAGTTCTGAGCTTCATATTTATTTGCAAAAATGGGTGGTGGCTAGCAGTGGAATCCCGGACATGCGTTTCGTCCTATATTGGACTCGTCAGCTAGATGCACCTGCATCTTGAAGATCCTATCTAAGTGAATTTAAACTTCACCCAACTGCACAAGCAAGTGGCTACCAGGACTCAGTAGCTAAGTGGATAACGTGACAGCATTTAAAGCGAACGGTACTGGGTTCGAGTGCCAGAGTGAACATCAACTCTGAGATGCAGGTACACCCAGCTGACGAGTCCCAAACAGGATGAAACGCGCTTCCATGTATTCTACCGCTAGCCGCTATTCATCTTTGCTTATAATGCTTGTGAATTAAGGTAATATCAAGATAATACGTACAGTATGCACGTATATCAATAAGAGACTGCAGTCCTAAACATCAATGAGAAGAATCAAACAATCAATTCTAAATGAATTCATATTTATTTGTTTGACCATGGAACAAAATAAAATAACAGAAATTTTTGTTCGAAACCGTCCAGTTGATGCCGGTTACTTACATCAACACTAATTTAGCTTTCAGAGACATCCATAGAATTTTGTAGAAATTGTGCTAAGTTCCTAGAATCTATCTTTCACATAAAACAGAAGACATAGATTTACACAACAAAAAGTTTGACATTTGTGTACAGAATAGTTTATATGGACCCTTTTCTTAATATTACCTTGTCCTTCTACTTAGCAACACTTAACTTCCTCAAAAACTTCATTAATTCTTTTAGTTTTAACCACAAATTCCAGTTCTATGCAACCTTTCTATTATAGTCTGATCACCTTATTTTCCTTTGCACCCCTTTTTGATTATTATTATTATTATTAT